CATCTTTGGCTGCAGAGAATATAATCAATCTGATTTCGGTATTGCCTATCTGGTGATTTCCATGTGTACAGTCACCTCTTGTGTTGTTGGAAAAGAGTCTTTGTGATGTCCAGCTTGTTCTCTTGACAAAACTCTATTAGCCTTTGCCCTGCTTCGTTTTAAACTCCAAGGCCAAACTTCCCTGTTTTTCCTTTTATCTCTTGACTCCCTAGTTTACCATTCCAATCCCCCATAATGAGAAGAACATCTTTCTTTGGTGTCAGTTCTAGAAGGTGTTGTAAGTCTTCATAGAATTGGTCAATTTCAGCCTCTTCAGCATCAGTGGTTGGTGCATAAACTTGGATTACTGTGATGTTGAAAGGTCTGCCTTGGATTCATATTGAAATCATTCTATTATTTTTGAGATTGTATCCCAGTACAGCTTTTCCCACTCTTTTGTTGACTATGAGGGCTACTTCTTTTCTTCGATGGGATTCTTGCCCACAATAGTAGATATAATCGTTTGAACTGAATTCGCCCATTCCCGTCCATTTTAGTTCACTGATGCCCAAGATGTCAGTGTTTATTCTTGCCATCTCCTGTTTGACCACATCCAGGTTACCAAGGTTCATAGATCTTTACATTCCGGTTCCTATGCAGTATTTTTCTTTACAGCATCGGACTTTCCTTTCACTTCCAGGCACGTCCGCAGCTGAGTGTCCTTTCGGCTTTGGCCCAACCTCTTCATTAGCTCTGGAGCTACTTGTACTTGTCCTGTTTTTCCTCAGTAGCATGTTGGAAGCCTTCCGACCTGAGAGTCTCATTTTCCAGTGTCATATCGTTTAGCCTTTTGTTTCTGTCCATGGAGCATTCTTGGCAAAGATACTGGAGTGTTTTGCCAGTTCCTGCTCCAGGTGGATTATGCTTAGTGAGAACTCTCCACTATGACCTGTTCCCCCCTCATCTCTGGAATTCTCCAAAGCCTCAATTTCAGCTCCTCAAATGCTCTTGCTTGTTTAATGACATTAATAATTATGTGCTCACAAGCTGTTTCTGACTTACGGTGACCCTTTCCAGGGTTTTCTAGGTATAGAGTACTCAGAAGTGGCTTACCAGTCTCTTCTTCTGGGAGCACCTTGGGACTGTACAGTTTACCCAAGGCTACACAGGCTGGCTCTTTTACCAGGGGGCACATGAGGAATCAAACTCCCAACCTCTGACTCAATGGCCACATAACTAACACACCACCATTAATTTTCTTTTTTTTAGCCACAGATCCTTTCATTTGTACAGACACTGTACTTTTAATTTTAAACCGAATGAAGCTATTGCATTTATCCCCCAGTCAAAGGCATGTACGGGGAAAAAACCTGGCTTACATGATGACATCCAATTCAAATGGGTTGCTTTAGTTCATCCTAATGCAAATTTGTGCATATAGGCAAATTAGGTTTGCAGCAAAACTTTCGATTAAATGAAGGGAAAACCCATGATTTCTGGTCACGTGTGGGAAAAAGGTTGTGGGGAGGGCACATCATCATTCTTTAATCATGAAAATAAGTGCAGGCCTGATCTGTATCATCATTCAAGGAAGAACAAGATTAAATCTAGAGATACAGTTAGTGAGGAAAGAGTTGTTATTATTAAGTTTTTAGAATCCATAACACATGCAGGAAAGGTGGTTTTCATAACTTTTCCTACCAACATTTTAAATGGCATTTCCCCAGCCTACAATATACTTCCATATGTACTATTGATGCAATTTGGAAAGATAGACCAGAAAAATCTAAGAATGCTGAATATCAGTAGTGTATTTTCTGGATGAAATCTGAAGGAAGTTAAATAAATTTAATCTTGAAATCAATAGACCATGAGCAAATAGTCCGGCCAATTTCAATTAGTGTCATGCTTGACTTGAGTTTCCCTGAATTGCTCCAAATACATGTACTAAAGTGGTACTTAGTTTTCCCACCACTCTGTGCATTCACTGTAAAATACAAACACCGCTTAATCAAATATCATCACATTCACAAATTCCAAACAGGACAACTGACATTGTCCTGTTTCATGGGAAAATCTGCTCTACATGCAACACATGCTCTCTCTCTCTCTCGCTCTCTCTCATTCTCTCTCTCTCACACACACACAAACACACACAGAGTTAAGGTTTCCCCAGTTTTGTCATTTAGGTGTTACCTCATTTGCTGCCCATGGGAAAACTTCTTAACAATTTCCTACTGATACTGTACTGAAAATATGTTTTCTTTTAATCAGCAGCCCTTTTCAATACAATGGAACCTCGACTTACAGACGGCTCTACTTACAGACTTTTCGAGTTACAGACTTTTCTGGCCACAAAATTTAGATTCGACTTGCAGCCGGAGAATCGACTTACAGACCAGAAAAAAACCAAAATGGAACAAAAATAGAATAAAAACTGCCAGTTATGGGATTAATTGGTTTTCAATGCATTGTAGGTCAATGGAGATTCGACCTACAGACTTTTTGACTTGCAGCCACCGTTCCAATACGAATTAATTCTGTAAGTAGAGGGTCCACTGTACATAGTATTGACCTGATAAAAGGGAGGGGGAGAGAATAATGCACATTAACATGGTGTGCAACTATTAGAGTACTTAAAATGTCACTCTTAATTGTACAGTGTTTGTACATCAAGACCAAACTGAATAGGAATTAATTATTTTCTCCTTCAGGCAATTATAGCTGGCCAACAAATACCTATGAAGCCAGAGATCAGACATGTAATGAGAAGGTAATCATGCCCTTAGACAGGTGTTGTGCTTAGCTACAGTATTTGTTTCATTATTTGTTTCCTTGTTTGTTTTATATGCCATCTTTTTTTTCCCCAAAGGAGGCTTAAGGAGGATTACATTTAGTTAAAACTATAGTCACAATTAAAAACATCATAAGATTTATTTATTTGTTTAAATTAAAAACCATTAAATACACAACAATATTAAAAACCACTATTAAAACACCAAGCAAAACATTTAAACACACACACACATACACCTGTATTCACTAAATGTAGCATTCCTAACAACCTCATTTACTGCTTAAAGGTCTGTCTGAAAAGGGAGGTCTCTGCCTCCTGACAGAAGAACAAGAAGGAGGGGGAGGGCAATCTGGCTCCTTAGGAAGGAGCTTCTTACAATCTGGGGGCAACCACTTTTCTTGTGCCCTCAGGAAATAAGCCTGTTAAGGTGGCAGGACTGAGAAAAAAGGTCTCTGTAGGAGATCTTCTTGAGCCAAGAAGGCTCATATGACATGATATGGTTCTGTCCCTCTAACCAAATGGTGATCATGCATCACCTTCTCAGCCAACGCAATCTACAAGTCTCTACTGAGCCTGTTCAGGGCAGTGCACTCCTTAGGCTGCTCACCAACTCCCATGGGCAGGTCGAGGCCAAGGCAACAATGGATTACAGTCGAAAGTGGTGCCGCCTGTTTAAACTTTAGAGACTGGGACATGTTTTCCCTCATTTTTTTTCCAGAGCAACTATCGACAAAAACCAATGAAAGCAGCAAATGAAAAACCAAAACACACACTGCATCCCCCCAGGTGAGAAACTGAAAATTTCTAAGCTACTTTTAAAGGACACCTAGATGGGGGGTTTGGGAGCGCACCTGCTGAACTCAAAGAGGTTCACAAATAGGTGAACTTCTCAAAGAAGCAGTCATGTCACTCTGTCTGGGCATGTGGGCAAATGTAAAAGATAAAAGCGGGGGGAGAGGCAAAATATTATAGCTCATTCAAGACTAAACGATTTATTTCAATGTGGGAGCGATTTCCTCGGCTCAAAATCTACTTCTTCAGACAGAGAGAGTGCAAACAGAGGTCCCCTTACATTTATTCCTATGAGACGAACCTTCTTGCGTGGGCAGTTGAGCTGTTCCCGACCAATGCTTGCAAAGCCGCAGGAATAACTTCCTGCGGGGGTGGGGTGTGTGTGGGGGAGCTCAACCCTCTCAAAATGCACCAGGCAGGGGAGACTCACAGTTTACCTTCGCCGTCCCGCAAAGTCGCCCCACAAACTGCAGCCGGGCGCGCGCTCTGCCCTGAGGAGGTGCGTCGCAACCCCGACCGGAGCGGGCGCGTGAGGGTCTCCCTTCGTTCCCTCCCGGCCGGTCTTCCTCCGCCTCTCCAAAGAATCCCTCTCCTCCTGCTTTCAGGGCCGGCGGCAGCGCCACAGCGGGTGATGGAGCGGCCGAACGCTTTTCGCGGAGGGATCGCTAGAAGCCGGGGGTTGCTAAGGAAGTGTTGCCCAGGCCCGCAGCGAGGGAGGCTAAACATTAAGGAAGAAGTGCCGAGGGAGGTCCCTGCATCTTAGGCTTCTGTCCTCCGAAACCAGCACAAAGCGGGGGCCGACGGGGGTCCGAAAGATCGGGGGGGCGGGGCGGGAAAGGACGCAAGAAACGCGCCTTGCTCTTTTCCCACTGCCTTCAGCTGACTCTTCTCTATTTCAGTTTTCCTGATCCTGTTACAGCATTCAAGCTCACTCTTCTCTGTGCCTCACCACAAATGCACAGATACGCCTTTGCTTTCCCTGGATGACCCACTTCAGAACACCTGTTCCACTGAGTCTGAACACATGGAAATTCGGACTAGCAACATTTACATACGGAGAAGGGATAGAATTTTTTTACCAAAGCTTGGTCAGCTCGGTACATGGATGAGACTAACCCGGTGAGCCAATTCAGTCAGTTCAAGACTTAAAAGAGACTGACAGAAATCAGAAATCACAAAGTGAAAAACTATGGCCCTCCAGATGTTTATGGCCTAGATTCCTATAGGTCTTACTCAGTATACCCAGTCATGAGGGATTGTGGGAATTGTAGTCCAAAATAATTGGACAGCTGCAGTTGCCAATCACTGATACTTATTCTGTATCTGACCTAGATAGATGTGCTCTTTCTAAGGGCTAAACTGTACATTCAAATAACCATTAGAGTTTAAGTTATATGTTCAAAAGAAGTCAAACTTAGGGAAAAAAATACTTTCTTATGCCTGAGGACTGATGTTTCTTTTGAGCTTCACAGCTCTGCAGCCCTGCAGTGCTGGATCAGGGGCATGCAGTTGATCCAGAGTTCCTGCACATTTTCCTTCCATCACAGGTGAGGGCCCCACACTCACCTGTGTGTGGGAACATTGCTGAAGACCAATATGAACAAAGTAACCTGATGCTCAGATTATAAGAGGTGAGGTAAATCTAGTGAGGGAACTTCATGGTACTGGGGATCCACCCTGCCACTCCAGAGCATCAAATCAAATGTACTCCATCTTCTCTTAACCCTCACTTTCCTCCTCCCCAGCAGCTGCACCTACCTTCCCTTCCTGAACGTTCTCCTGTTTTCCTGCCTCCCTGGAACTCCTGGGTCTGCATGACCACTGAAGCAGTCTCCAAAGAGGGCTTGCTCCATCTGGGGTAATGCTGTAGGTGAAGGATGTCACACACAACCTTCTTGCCAGCTGGCACTCAAAGAAGATGAGGAAGGCATCAAGGTCAACCACTGCCATGGGCAGATGGCCTCTCATGAACACTCTATTTCCCCTTAGGCTCAATGTTGGGGTTTTTTATTAACGTTTTATTAGTTTTTCAATATATCTACATTCAGTTCGTGCTTGTTAAACATCATGTTACATGGGTTGCTTGTAATTATTCGTTTTTGCTTCTTGATGTCTTCTTAGTTGTCTCTTCAAAAATCTACCATTTTTTAAGGATTTGCACTAATAGTGTGTATTTTAGCGTACAATATTGGCTACTATCATAATATTGCTCTCACTGTATACAGTGTTCTCAAAATCCTCTAATAAAATACCTAATAAAAGCAATTCGGGTTTCAAATCTATATAATTTTGAGGCAATTTAACCAACCAACTTTGTATTTTATACCAATAATAACTAAATAGGTTCCTAACACATAATAAATGTTATCTAAAGCATTTTATATAGAATTTTTATATAATTGTTTAGCCATTTCTATCTCTACATTTTTCTGTCATGTCTATATCAATATCTAATATATGTTAATAAAGTACTATTTGTTTTTTTTTCCGTCTTGGTGTCTTCTTAGTTGTCCCTTCAAGATCTATACCTTTTTTAAGCATTTGAATCACATACAATATTGGCTGCTATCATAATATTGCTCTCATAGTATACAGTGTTCTCAAAATCCTCTAATAAAATACCTAATAAAAGCAATTCGGGTTTCAAATCTATATAATTTTGAGGCAGTTTAACCAACCAACTTTGTATTTTATACCAATAATAACTAAATAGGTTCCTAACACATAATAAATGTTATCTAAAGCATTTTATATAGTATTTTTATATAATTATTTAGCCATTTCTATCTCCACATTTTTCTGTCATGTCTATATCAATATCTCCACTGGCAATGGTGCGGCTAAAAAATATTGTAAATAAATAAATAAATAAATAAATAAATAAATAAATGTTAATAAAGTACTATTTGTTTTACCTCTTTCTTATGTCTAGCTTCAATTTACCTTAAGAACCACCATGTTATGCTTTTACCCTGATTAATCTCTTCTTTCAGTTTCATTCCCTTTTCTAATATATAAGATACGTTCCCTTACAATTCTAGAAGTTAGGTATATACATGCTTTCAATGTTGCAGGCCACCTTACTATTTTTTCCTTTATCTTTCTAAGTATCTCCACTTGTTTGTCTTTTCCAAATTCTTATTCCTATCTCTCTAAAAATTCTGCCATCCTTTGTATCATCTGAGATAATTTTACACATTTGATCTATTTCCAATAGATCTTCCAGGCTATTTTAATTAAATCTGCTGGTTGTCTCCCCTTATCTTCACTTGGCACACCTAAGACTCTCCTCGGCTCCAGGGTTACATTTAGATCTCCTAAATTTTCTCCTCTAATTTCCTCCAGCCCCTCCTTTGGTTGGCATATATCATCCACCACCCTCTCATTTCCTTGTTCATTATTCCCTGTCTCCTTTTGACTATAGTTCTTCCTTAGCTGCTCATTGAATAATTTTACCTCTTTGTTGTCGGATCTTACTATTTCTAAAATTGCTTGAAGGGTAAATTTTGTTTCATCCCAACATCGTCCTTCTTGTGGCATTATGTCCCAGATATCAAATAATTGTATTCCAAGTGAAAGTTGTCCAATTGCTTAAAGTAAAAAGTCCAATTCCATAAATACTTGCTTCAATAGGTCCACTTTAATAGATTGATCATCTTTAAGGCTAAACCTGAATCCAGTCTCAGACTGCTTGGAGGCTTGAGGACACTTGCTCACCAAATACTTCACTCGATGTTTGTATTCATGGCCTAATGTATTTTGTAATCCAGCCCCAGCAGTCCAGGATGCATCCAAATGTTTTTATTGGTCCACATAGGTCCATGTTAGCCAGATATATATTCCAAGATTAATTGTCTTTGTTAGTTCCAGGGTTAATTTGTCAATGCTTCAGTCAGTTCTCAGGGGGGAAAAAAGGAGAGTCAAAAGAGATTCCCAGCTTAGGTGTTCAAAGTCATATGTTCTGGGCTTTTTGCAAACGCTTAGATAGCTATAACATAACAAGTTTAACTCCCAGAGTTATTTTAAGCGAAGGATTTCTCAAGTTTCTAACACCAAAGTAATACCAAACTTACTTCCTTGAAGTATAACTAAATGTTTAATTAGTGTCCAATTTATTTTCTTTGCATCTCTTTGTGTCTCTTCCCTCTCTCCAGATTCACCTCTGCTCTATAAGTGGTGGGGATAAGAGACACTATTTCTGTTATAGGGATTGTCCAAGGATAAATAAAGCAGCATAGTTATAAAATATTTTTCACCCAATGGTAACAACAATGTTAATTAGCTGGTTTATTGCTTCGCTATTGCCGGCTGCTGATGACTTGCAAGCGAGCTATTCATCTGTTTATTTCCGCCCGCTGGTTGATTGGGGGTTTGCCGGATCAAACGGGGGCAACTGCCATCCCCCCCATGATCAACAGGCTTCTCCCCCATTTCACCACCTCTTTGGTTTTAACCCCCTGGGGGGTCCCAAGCAGGTCAGAATTCAGCCCAGGGGACTCATCACAGCGTCAAACCAGAAGTCAAGCCCAATGTTAACATTCTAGAGAATTAATTACACCTTAGTGATTTTATCACTTCTTCACACCACCTCTCTTGCTTGCTAACTGGACATTTCCATTCAACTTCTTCTGTCTTTTCTCCACACATTCAACTTCTTCTGTCTTTTCTCTCTCCTCTCTTTCTTCTCTTGCTGTCAAGCTGGGTGATGTAAACATTCTAGTTTGAAAATCCATTATGGACATGGGGATTGGAATGGTCATACAAACAGTGTGTTGCAAACTAAGTCAGGAGTCCTTTGTATTTCAGCTTTAAGATAGGTTCAGTAGAAGCAGGGTGTCTTTGGCTGTTGTGCAGAGATAGTGCAGGCCATTGGAAGTGGTTCTATAGAAGTCATTCAAAGTGGTGTTAAAGACCCTAGAGAAATCTAATTCTCTCTTGTTTAACAAGATCCAGTGAAAGGCTGGTTGGGGAATAAGGGAATTTCAATTAAGCAAAAGCTGGTTCTCTGAAACTTATCAGAGACATAAGGGAGGACTTCGCTTTAAAACACCCAGTTAAGTGGTATAAAATAAGTGAATTGTAACCATCTCTCTTTGGATTCTTGATAGACAATTTAAAGGGAAAATATTGTTTAGTGTATGTAGGGTGTTGTTGATTTGGGACATATCTTACCTATTCTTCTATAATGTAGTAGGGGATCAGTTGAAACGTGAGAGAGTTGGCTTTTTTAACATATGGTCTGGAATTCTGTTAGTTATGTAAGAGTTGCATGACTTACCCTGGCTGAGTGTGGTTCACTGATGGGGTTCCAGGACTCATCTTGGTTGTGTAGTTGGGTGCACGCCCAAGCTAGTGACCAAGATGCACCCCAGGATCTCTCCAGCTTGATACAATTAGCCACAGCAAATTACACAAACATGAGTAGGATTCTGTGTAAAATGCTACTGTTGTTTTATTGTTGCTAACACGAGTACCTTCTCTGGTATCTTTTCTTCTTTAATTTTCTCCCCCCTTCCCTTCCCCCCCTTTTTTTGGTAATAATTAGGGCAGTATGAGTGAGACCTTGTACCAAACAATGATAAAAATCATTGTAATAATATCTGTCAATTTAAGAAAGCAAGTTGTTTTTGTGTAAGTAAATGAAAGTAATGTCTTATAAACTACCACGAGATGTAATCCAGAAAGCTATAGATCAAAATCCTGCATTACTGAATGGGCTGCTTGTATCAAAAACTGGAAGCTAACCAGATTTTTTAAAAACACACAGGTGTGGTGGATTAGTATCAATGCTGAAGCACCATCCAGTACGGAAGACCACT